TGGTGTCGCAGGGCGGTGGGCCAAGGTGGCGTCGGGGGAGCGGGGGGACGAGGGCGGGGCGACGAGGAGGCTCACGCTGGAGATGACGCCGGAGGACTCCGACACCAATGGGGAGGGAGCCAGAGGGGTGGCCAGGCGGAGGGCCACCGCGAGATCGGTAGCCGTCACCCGAGAGCGCCCCGGCCCCGACCCACCCCTACCCGCGGGAGGGTTGGGGGAGTCCCGAGACGGGGAGCGAGAGTGCTCCGACTCATCCTCCTCGGCAGGATCATCGAAGCGGGAGGAGCGCGAGCGGCGGTGGTGGGTGTCGTCATCAGCCGCAGGGCCCCCTCCCAGGAGACTGCCCGCCGAGAGGCGAGGACGGCCGACGTGGGACGGGGGCTCGGGGCGGATCTTGAGGTCGTAGCCATCATCGTTGAAGAAGACCCGAATCGTGACGTGGAGTTTGGAGGAGTCCAGGCATTTCACCTTAACCCGCACCTCCTCCTCCTTGCGCAGGGAGAGCTCATCCACCACCACCACCCTGCCCAGGATCTTGGACATACTGCGGATGGTCCACTCGGACCGGGCCACATCGGGGAGGCCAGAGATGAGGAGCCAAGCCGTGTCCAGGGTGGCGACGGCTCTGGGATCCCACTGTGGCTCAGCGATGTTCACCACGATGTCGTTGAGCGCCAGGGTGATGTTGTTGCTGCGAGTGCAGAAGCCCATGCTCATCGCGTCTGGGAACACCACAGAGAAGGAGCTGGGGGCCGTGGGGGTCACCTGCCAGTCCCACGAGCAACGGCACAGGTGGTTGAGCTCAGCCTCAATCAGCTCCGGGGTGGCGACAGCGTCGCCCATCACCGTCACCACAGCCAGCAGCGAGGGGGACGGTGGGGCGAGCTCGGGCACCTCGATGTGGAAGAAAGCCAAGTCCTCGATGCCGTGCCCGTAGATCATGAGCTCCTCCGAGACCGGGCGATCCGAGCAGAGAATCGCGGGGTGCCCGGACTCCTTGCACAAGTAGCACGAGGGTGGGTTGGGGCATGCCACCTGGAAGTGGCCTGAGAGGCCGCAGTTGAAGCACGGCTGAGCCCCGGCCGCGGCGGCGGCACCCGGGGGAGGAGCCACAGGAGCGGAGGCGGTGGTGGCTTGAGGGCGCGGGGGCCCCTTCTTCTTCTTCTTCTTGGATCCGGGGCGTCCCCGGTTGCCGTTACCACCATTGGACGGCGGGAACGCAGCCTGAGAGCGGGGGGGCTGGTAGCGGCTGGAGGTGGCGTCGGCTTCGGCGTTGGAGGGGAGCGGTCGGGGCGGCGAGGGAGATCGGTCGCGGCGCCGGGCCGGCGAGGGAGACCGGCGCCGAGGGGGCGGCCGAG